AGAGGGGAGTGGAAATATTGTAGAGTGGGGTAAAAAAGGGCTGGGAAGAGAGGGGGCAAAGTGTGGATGGGGTTTCCTTCCTCTGTGAGTTTGGTGAGTCTCAGCTTGTATGTTTAGAAAGAGATAGAATGGACTAACAGTCCGTAAAAAACAAGATTTGGCGTACAGAAGTCCTGCTTGCCTCTGATCAGGTATCTCTGTTCAAGGATGCTATGGGGGTGGGGACACACCAAGATTTAGCTAGGATGTCATCTCTACATCAAGCAACACCATATTTAAGAATATGGTAAATAATCAGACTGTGGTTAATGAATCAGCTTCAAAGCATGGGTTCATGGGGTCAGCAGTTAAGAAAATCACACTAACTTTTCATTAATTCAACCATGGTGTCACTTGTATTTTTTCCTGGTTAGTTGGCAATCCTATGAAGTAGGCCCTTGCTTATAAAAACCTTTCCCACAAGACAGTTGTCATTCTTTATAGCACTGCACAAGAATCCTTGTTGGTTTGCTGCAATAAATGCTGCTATTCTTGGTGAACTTCTGGATGCTCCATGAGTGCTACTCCTTTAACATTACACTGAGTATATCTCTCTGGTAACCCAAAAACACACACCTTGATAACAGGTTTACCAGCAGTTCCATTAAATGTGACTAAAAGTCATCAGAACAGCAGAAGCTTGGACATATTCATGCAAAGAAACACAAACACACAATGGCATGTACAGATCTAGTTTATAAAAGGTAATAGCCCATGTTCCAGTTAAATAAATATTAGTTGCATACCATATATTTAGACCTCTATTGTGGTAAATTGTATTTAGGATAAACTTTGTAGTGGCCAGAATGAAATGCCGGTATGCTAGTCACTTCTTTCAAATTTCAAACAGTGAACTCTGATCAGCAGTTGTGTCTTCAGTATGATATGGCAATTTGCCTTTAAACATTTAACTTTGGTCATCAGATTATAGAGCCTGTCACAATGAATGCATACATAGAATTTTACAGAGATGGGCTGTGGAAAGCAGAAACTAAGCATGGTATCAATAAATCTCCAGTATCAAGGAAGGAAACCTATGATTTCCAATACAAGCATTCTCTCTCTCTCTCTCTCTCTCTCTCTCTCTCTCTCTCTCTCTCTCCCACACACACACACACACACACACACACACACAGAACACACACACACACACACACACACACACACACACCCTAGGGGATTTTTTTTAGATGCAACACTCTAGTCTCCCTTTCTATTTGAAAATTCCATGGTCTTCTGGTTCAGAGTCTCATGCCAGCTGTATCTTAGCTAGAACTCCACCAATAGAAAACTATTGACAGGCACCTTGGTGCCTGCCTCTTTCAATGACCCTGTAAAACCTGACAGTCTTTCTCCGAAGACTAGCTGCAGTCTTTCAGTGTTCATCCTAAACAGTCATTTTCCAGCACTTGGTGAATCATCTCTCTCTCTCTCTCTCTCTCTCTCTCTCTCCTCTCCCCCCCCCCTCCTCAAAGCCTTTTAAATATTTTTGTGGATGGCTTTGTGAAAGATTTATCCTTGCTTGAGATGCTGTATAAAAATCTCATCTCTTACAAGGCTTTATATCGTTGCTATTGCTGCCACAATATCACCTTTCAAGTCTCAATCTTTTACCTTTTGGAAGCCTCCATGCCTCTAGCAATTTATGACACAGACTGGCCGCATTATTTCTTCCCCCTCCTCGCCACCCCTTAGGATGGTAGCTTGCCGTACAGTCTAAGCTCTGGCAAAATTACCATTTGTTATGGGTAGCAGCCACTTTCATTGGGCATTTTAACTTGATCATATGATCCTCAGTTAAAAAAAATAAGATATATATTTTGTTTAGGGAACTTCTCCCACTTTCCTCCTCCCCCATATGGAACCAAACCAGCTCACAAAAAGAACAATGCAATATAAATAAATGTAAACAAAATGCAAACTGCAATGTAAAGAAAGAAGCAACCCGCCCTCACAGAAAGTAAAGAGAACATTCCAGGCTAGGCAGCTATCCACTGGATTGGTCCATCAAGGCCACGAGCCCAATGTGAGACTCTAATCCACAGGTTAAGAGCTAAGGGCCAAGAGCCCAAGGACTCACCTCTGTATCCCAGGTAGTGCCTGAAGACTACTAAGAGTTCCTTCTCTCAAGTGAAGCTGTTACAAGTTTAATAAAGCAGCCCTATGGATTAGAGTCTCACATTGGGTGCTATTCAATGCATTGCACCTTCTCCACTGGAAACCCTTCCAAAAACGGGTAGCCCAATGCTGTATTGCCTTTCTTGGGTCAGAGTCCTGTGATTGGTCCTTCACTTCAGAAGGGACGTTCCTCCTCAGACTGGATTCGGGTCATGGGCAGAAGAGCCTAGGTGGGGTAAGAGACTGAGGAGCTGCTAGCAGGCGAGTTGGATTCTGATACAATGGATAACCCCATGTCTGGATACGTAGGGCCATTTTGATGTGTTGCCAGCATGATTGTTTCATCAGAAGGTGTGATTTGTCGGGGGGGATATGTCCTAAATTCTATGGGACATCTCTAGTTACGTTAAGGCTCTGTTCTACCAGAAGCAGGAGGCTGTTTTAGGAATTTGGGAGGTCAAGTACGATGTTGTCGAGTACAAGGGTTGTTTTAATGAGAGCAACCAGACAATATAACTATACGGGGAGTATTGTACATCCCTTCTGTTGCTAGGAGATTCTGACAGCAATGACCATGCCCCAGGATCTTGTTCTGCAACACCCTCCACATCCTGGCCTACAGAGAAGCTCTGAGCCTTCTTCCAACTACCTTTTATACTAATTTGGTTAAGATGCTGAACTTCAGGCTGTGGAAGGTCGGTAGTTCAGCAGTTCGAGACCCGAGTTGCCGCATGACAGAGTGAGCTCCCGTCTCTAGTTCCAGCTCCTGCCAACCTAGCAGTTCGAAAGCAAGAAATTGCAAGTAGATAAACAGGTACCACTTCAGTGGGAAGGTAACAGTGTTCCGTGTGCCTTGGTGTTTAGTCATGCCGGCCACATGACCACAGAAACATCTTCGGACAGCGCTGGCTCTTCAGCTTTGAAACAGAGATGAGCGCCGCAACCCTAGAGTCGGATTCGACTGCCTTTCCAGCAAGGGAACCTTTACCTTTACTTTTTAGCCTGCTAAGTCATACTAGCCAGGTCTTATGATCAGGAACACCTGAGAGTCATGCCTCCCCCATTAGGAGGCTGAGAATAACAAAAGACAGCCCTATGTACAGGTATATGCAGTAGGCTTCATCAACCTATGGCAATTAGTGAATACTTTGACTTTAAAAGATCTTGCTATAGACCTATCAAAAAACCCAATTCTGGTACATAGTTTTTGTTTTGAGATTTTGCTATGAAGCAAAGCAGCTGGGTTTTTTTTAAAAAAAGTGGTCTTGAGCTTTACGCTATTTCCTGAACAAGAGGAACAAAAATGCTGTAATGTAGCCGTAATGTTACTCAAATTACAATGATTTGAGCTATTTGCATTTTTCAATATGCAAGCATTAAGAAAGCCTTTGAGATGTTTATAAAATAATGTCTACATTTTACTGTTAGCATTTTATGTTATGAATTATACCCATGGCTTAAAAGTAATGTACAACTCATTATTCTCATTCTTTTCCTCATCTTGCAGATTGTGAGTGTTGGAAAGCATGTTAAAGGCTACCATTACATCCTTGCAAACCTGGTAAGACCTGTTTTCCCAAGTAACTTAATGGTCGGCTAGTATAGTTCTCCATAGCCCTATCAAACTGAGACTGCAGTTCAGGAGGGTGGAATGTCATTACTTAGTGAGAGCAGTTCAGAGTACCTCACGGGTAGCCCAGTCTACAACCTAGTTAATGTATTTCGATTTATGCCTGTTTAATCTCCTTGATTTATATTTTATTTATTCATTTATTTGCATTTTTACCCCACCCTCCCCAGGGTGACCTGACCCATTCATAAGATTTACTACAAGTGCAAATAAATCTGGAAAATGGGGCATTCTGTCTGTGGCATTAGGGCAAAGTAGCAAACTGTACAGAGAATTGTAATATTTCCATTTTCAGCTACAAGGTTATCACATATTTTCCACCAAAAATATTGGTGCTAGGAAAAATCAATTCTATCCCCAGCATCTACATCTCCCCCTGGTATTTTTTTAAAGGATAGGCATCAATATGGCTATTGTTCCCACAGCAAGGCTAATGCCCTGTCTTTTACATGTGGACTGCATAGTGTGCAAATTTCTTAGAATTGGAACATCTGGAGGAGGTCTGCTCAGAAGTAAGTCCCAATTTATTCAATGGAGCTTACTCCCAGGAAAGTGTTCTTCCGATTGGAGCCTTATTGGGCTAGTGTGCAAATGCTAATATGTGTTTGGAGTATGTTTGACCAGTTACCTGTAAATTGTAAAGACCCACAGTGTTTTATAGCACTGCTTTACCTTAGCCCCTGTAATTAAGGCCCTATTAATAAATTTCATTTTAGCTGTTTAGACTCTTGCCTTTTGTTTAAAGTGCACCGTAATCACAAAAACAGAGGCTAAATTTTCCTGGCTGACTCTTGTGCATGCTAAAAATAGCTAAAATGCTTATTGTATATGATGGTCTAAACATGTGTACAACCTTTAGCTACTTACAAGGTCAATGAGGTGTGTAAAATTGGTTTGTGTGTGTGCCTGTTTAGGGATTCAGAGATATTTCTTTGGAAAGGTTTATGCATGGAGGAGCCAACGTCACTGGGTTTCAGCTAGTGGATTTCAACACATCTATTGTCTCTAAGCTCATGCAACGATGGAAGAAGCTGGATCAGAGAGAATACCCAGGATCTGAGACCCCTCCTAAGGTACCTTGCTGCCTCATATATCACATTATAGTGGCTGTTCAAGAGGTTAGCTTAGATTATGAAAGGTGTGTGTTGGGGGGATGAATTGAGGTATCAAATGCTTAAGAGTGAACCAATCTTACCAAGGTAAAAAAAATAAATAACATAATGCCGATACACATTTTTCTCCACTTGATTAGTATACCTCTGCCCTGACCTATGATGGAGTGCTTGTGATGGCTGAGACTTTTCGTAATCTTCGGAAACAGAAAATTGATATTTCTCGGAGAGGGAATGCTGGTGATTGCCTTGCAAATCCAGCTGCACCATGGGGCCAAGGTATCGATATGGAGAGAACACTGAAACAGGTATGGTTATTGTAAGGCTTAATTCCAGCAGTGTTTTTGTGATTGCCTTGTGTCCTAGCCTGGATGCCATGCTAGAGCAGATTACAAACTGTTAATGTGCATAATGGATTATAACGACTGGTCCATGTTTGCTATTAACTATCTATGGTATACTTGGTTTGCTTTACAACACTTTCTCACTTGTCCTTTCAACAGTATGGTCACGAATAGTGACATTGGCTGTGGCTTGGCGCAAGATGGTGCTGCCTCTAATTGAACCGGTTTAAAGTGTTGCAGGGCATACCAGCCACACAGTACACCCTCCAGCGGGTACCCACGCAGACATCCCGTGGTCAAGCATCCACATTATTGCACCACCTCAGCCCCCCAAAATTTCAAAACACATATGTGTGAATGTGCATTCATGTGTGCACATAACTGCATGTGTGCACATATATGCACATGCGCACACATGCACATATAGGCAATTTAAAAAAACCAACCCAGTGGCAGAATGGATCTGCAGGTTCAGAGTGCCAAATCCATTCTGCACACGCTCCCCCGCGTTCAGACATCCGGCCATGCACAATGACTGTGCGGGTTACCAAAAGCACCACTTGTGATGTGGTGCCTTTTTAACTCAGCTCCAAGTCATCTTATGATGGGATAAGTATGGCTGGGGAACGCCTGGCAGATGTGGCTCTCTGACAGCGCCAATTTGATCTGGAGGGGAGGAGTGGCTGTGTCGGGCCAAACTGCTCGTGTGATCACAGCCATTGTGGAGACAGAGAAGTGAAAAAAAGGAGAAACTTGCTGACTTATTTATAGTTGTGCACTGAAGGCTTTACAACAGCTTGTACTAGGATACAGGTCCCCTAAGGACAAAGGCAACACACATCCGCTGAATTATAGTTTTTTAAAAAAGTATTGGTGGTCATAAGTAGCATTGGAGGAACTCCAGACCTCATCCTCTGCATCACCATGGCTGCTGCATCACGCCATCCAACGAGGAAACGTACTGCGATGCTGGACACAGTTATACCCATCTAAGTCCATGGAAGTTAATAGGCTCATGAGAAGGAAACTGTTTAGGATTGCACTGTTTGAAATGCAGTCTGCTCATTCAGGTTGAGGGCAGAAGGCATCAGGCCAGTGGCTCAGTGTGCTTCTCCAAGACTGTTTGCTCAGACCTTTAGAGCTGGGGAACTGAGGGTCACCCAAACAGCCCTGTACATGGAGAGATAGTTACAGTGTTTTTTGCCTACAGCTAAAGTGGACTGTGAATGGATAGAGGACAAGTATTCTGCTCCTGGTATTGAGCTGGTTACCTGCAGTGTTCCCTCTAAGCTGAATTAGTGTGAGCTAGCTCACAGATTTTTAGCCTCCAGCTCACACATTTTTATCTCAGCTCAGGAAGGATGGCTCCAGAACACACTAACTTATGCAGTAGCCAAATCACCTGCTCACAACTTTAATGCCGGTAGCTCACGAAGTAGAATTTTTGCTCACAGGACTCTACAGCTTAGAGGGAACATTGGTTACCTGTATTTTAAGTTTTCCCACATCAAGAAACTTTTAGTGTTATTTTATTTCTATAGCATCTTCAGTGTGCGTGATGTTTTGCAAAAGTAATGTAAGCTAAATATGCACAGTGGGCCTGCAGTCACATAATGTGATTGTTATAGGACTTTGCTATATATATTGCAGAAACTTTTAAAGAACAGCAGTGTTGGGAGCAGATTAGGCCTTCATCACACAGAAGAATATGCACATGATTAAACGATAGTAGGTGGACTAAAGTGGATTTTGGATCCCGAATCTATATCATACCTAGCATAACAGTTCTAGAAATGCTCTTTGAAATCCAAATATGTGGACTGGGCTATACTAGTATCATCCCAGCTGGTCGAAAGCTATTATATGTTTTTCTTTAGCCTATTTGAAAACATTTTGGTAGGAGCTGTGCAGGTTAAAATTTCAGTATGCACCTCACTGTCAATTCTTCATCATACGCTGAGGAAAGAAAATGAATTTTTATATGATTGCTTAAGAATTATCTGATCTTTTTGCATGCCGAATTTGTCATTTTGACAGTATAGATAATGTTTGGGGCCTTGTGTAACTCACAAAGGTAAAAACAAAAATACCACATAGTTCTCCTATCTTCAACAATTTAGAAAGAAGAAATTCAGAGTTATTTTTCACTGTTGTCATGGCTCTGTATTCCTGATTAATATGGAGGCTCCAGATCCCTGTCAAAATGATTTAGCTTCTTGTTTCAAGGCAGGACAGCTGAGTCCGTGGGAGGAGGAAAAGAGAAGGAGATCTCTCCTACAGCAAAATTTAAAATCTTGCAGTTGAGCCTATTCAACATAGAAAGGGGAGACATGGAACAGAAGTGACTGCTGACAGCTCTGGGCCTGTAAATGGAGTGCTTCAGAATGGGGAGTGATTTGGAAAGGAAGAACGCTAATTTACATGCGGATATCGGTGCCTATGGACAGCCATTAAAAATGGAGCATGCTTAAGTCTTACACATAAAAAGAGGTAGGAAATATGAGAGCGTCTCAGAAGAGTGATCCTCCCTAAGGACGGAACTGAAGAAGGTTTGATACAAGGCAGCAGTTTTGAGCTGCGTCTCCTCGCTCTTCATCACTGAGTCAGGGGTACCTGTATGATCACAAGGTGGATTTCCTCCCAATCGTTGACTGGTAGCACGGGAACATATTGTGGCTAAGGCTTCCTAAACCTTACCAAAAGAAGAGAAGAGAACTTTGGGGGGGATATTTTGGGGTATTTTCTGTGTGTGCGTGTGTGTACCTGGAAGTCACACAACCTCTGGTGGCTGACCCCGACTACCTGGAGGATATTCAGAGAGGTGGCTGAAAGCCTGCCTCTGTCCTTCCCGACTTGGTGTTCCTTGGAGGTCTCCCATCCAACTACTAACCACAGTCGCTCCTGCTTAATTTCCAAGATCTGACAGGATCAGGCTGACCTGGGCTATCCAGGTCAGGGGAAGAAGATAAGAGAATTTGAAGTGGGGCTGCTGATTTCAACAGCATTCCTAACAGCGCTCATCCTCATTCTGGAAGCAAGCACAGCACTGGACAAAGGGAAGGCTCAGGGCCAGAAAAGATCGAGGCCAGCCTACATGGGACAGTAAGGGAGGGTTTACGTCCACCTCTGTGCCAGTTCCCTGATTAAAAATGCCCCCTACCCTGTGCTGATTTAAGACAGTAGGGGGGAAAGACAGACACCGTGTATTGTTTCTGTCTGGTTTTGTTTTGGATTTTTGCCTGTGGGGAAGTTGTTTTTTAGCTAAACCTTTTGCTTTGGTATCTGATCAGGTTCTCAGTGCCATGCTGGTAGTTTGGCACTCATTTTGTCCTAACAGGTTCCTGAAGACAAAAGGTTTTTTTAAAAAATGGCAAAAATGGGCTCCTCTCATTGATCCCCAATGCCGATCATCATCCCAATTTGTGGTGGGATGCACAGTCTAGCATTACAGGGGATGTGTTAGCCTTCTTCCTCATGATCCTCATCAAAGCACTCTTTGAGGATAATTCAGGGTGGGCCTTCTATCTTCCCTGGCAACTTATTTATGCTTCCCTAGAGAAGGTTGCTTTATGATTTAAGCTGTCCTAGAACTGTTTAGTGTAGTAAAACCAATGTGGTTTTTAATGACGTATAAGTAGAGGCCTAATGAAGCTGCAAGTCGAGACCACACATCTATTTTTGGTGGCTGTTTCGATTCTGATGTGTGATTCTAATGGGGAGTTGTTGTTTTTTTAAGGATTTGTGAACTTTCTTTACAATAACAAATAGTAGCTTTTATTTAGGATGCTGTGACTTGCCTTGCATTCCCTTCAGTATTTCAAAAAGGCATCTGTATGGAGGTTTTATTGATACGCAGGCCAATTTGAATGCTGTCAAAAAATTTACGCTATCGATTGGCAGACCTTTTCATAAGGCTGTCTGACCACTTTGTTGCCGGCGATGGCATGACTTTTCATCACCCATACATGCATTGATTTTAATTTCTAATTTCTAAGGTTCGAATACAAGGACTAACAGGAAATGTGCAGTTTGACCACTATGGTCGCAGAGTCAATTACTCCATGGATGTGCTTGAACTGAAGAGCACAGGTCTACGAAAGGTTTGTGCCTTGCTTAACTCGTATGACGTGGGACTGCTCTTAAAGATATTTCAGTTAAATAAAAATGGAGATACCTGTTCATTAATAATTAGAGGTGTGTCATTAGACTTGTTCTAAAATATTGTCATTGGGTGCCACTTTTTTTTTCTGGGCTCAATTTAAGATACTGCTTTCTGCCCTTAAAGACCTTCCTAGCCTGGGATCCACAAACCTGACTGTTGTCAGATAATTTTTCTGTTTGTTTGTATGGAATGGTTAATACTAGTTGTAAGATACAATTGTTTAAATGTCCTACCCAGTACTGATTTTTAATAGAAATAATAATAATAAATTGTTCTATGAATTTATTAATGTCTCATGTGATATGGCCTGGAATCCTTTTTTTTTCTTCTTCAAAGATAGGCCCTTGCATTTTTCACTGCATTATTTCACACCAGCAGATATGTTACAAGCATAATAATGTACAGGTACATAGGAGCATAGTTAACATATTGTTAAAGTTATGTAACCACTGGATTGTAATACCTCTGTAAGTAATCCCAAAACGTAAACCTTGGGGAAATGTATTGCAGTATTTCAAGGAACTGGTTTCCTCGAGTATACAGAATTTTAGAGTAAGTAATCTATAATAAGAGCCGGAGAATTTTCTCTGTGCTTCCATTTCTAATTACAGTTCAATGAGTCTTTCTAGTTCCAGCTCCATGGGAAATCATATGCTACTTATAAAGATGGTGTATGTATGTGAAACAGAAACAGTTAAGTGTATCGATGTCCAGTCCCTGTTCATCTGGGTATGAATATCTGAAGATGCAATACTTTTCCAGTGGTGGTACCTGGCTAGGGATGCCAGCCTCCAGGTTTCCCAAACTAGATCTAGCCATCCTCACCCTCCCCCATCCCATGCACGTGGTCAATGAGGACCTGACAACCCTGTACCTTGGTAGTGGAATGCCCTCACCCTAGAGGCTCATTTGGCACCTACTCTGTTTTCCTTTAAGCACCAGGCCAAAACAGTTAAACAGGGTTTAAACTCTTAAGTTGTTTTTACAATCTGCTTCAAGTCCGAGGACTATTCATTTAGTGCTGCCAAACGCTTTTTATGCTGGGTGTTTTAATGTGTTTTTCTGCTTCTGGATTTTATTGGCTGTTTTTAATGGCTGTAAATTTTCATGGGTTTTTAAGTGATTTTTATTTTGTGAGTCCCTTTGAGAAGGTCTCTCAAAAGTTGGTGTGTACATAGTAAGTCAAATAATTGATCTGTCTAGCCCAGCGCTATCTATTCCATCTGACAGCAACTCTTCACCTTTGCAGGAAAAGGTCTTTTTTCTGTCCTGCTATCTGAGGTCCCTTTAAACAAGCAATGCAAGGACTGAGCTTGTGATCTCCATGTGTTTCTGCTATATTATGAAATTTAGGTGGGGATTGTGGCTTTTCCTTTCCTTATCCTAATCCCTTCTGCCTAACAGGTTATACTAGCTCTCTGCCCCATGGACTTTGGTTCAGCATAAGATTTGTGTGTGTGTGTGTGTGTGTTAAGTGTTGTCAAGTCGCTTCTGACTTATGGCAACTCTATGAATGACCAGTGCTTGCCCACACGCAAGCACAAGCTTTTGCCCACCCCCCACATCCTTGAAGGAATCATGTGGGAGGGTGAGCCTATTGGAAGGCAGTGCGGGAGCGCTGACCTATCAAGGAAGGCTGGCCAGCCAGATTTAGTGGCGGCAGCCATTCCCTCGCCCATTCCAGCCAGAGATGAGCTCAGGAGCGGAGCATCATGTTGACTGGGAAGCCCAGTAGAGCCTTGTGGTAGAGACGAACTGATGTGTTTTGCCATTGGCTGCCTCTGCATAACAACTCTGAACTTCCTTGGTGGTCTCCCATCCAAGTACTAACTATGGTTGATCCTGCTTTGCTTCCAAGATCTGATGAGATCAGGCTAGCCTGAGCCATCCAAGTCAGAGTAGCACTATTATGCACATGCATAATACCACAAAAGTGGATTGGTGGACATCAGGAACCCTGCCAACAACTGGTGATAACCCTTCCTGGCAGCAGGTCTTGCAGGAAGAGCTGGCCCATCTAACAATTAAATAACACTGCAGTAGACAGTAGGACAATATTTATGTAATACAAGGATGGAACCCAGTATTACATAGGATCTTCATTTGGGGCAGGCAGGCAGCATAATAGAGGGGGCATTTTTTAATTATGATTTATGGTTCAGTGTTGGAAATAGAGGAACATTGTCTAAAGGCAACAGGCACCTCGAATATATCATAAGAGAAAGGTGGGGTAAAAATTCATCTAAATATATTAATAAATGTTCTCTAAATTCACAGTAAATCATCTGTGAATTGTAGCTCTAGAAATATAGGCCTCAGGTGATCCCAGTATCCAGTGCACTCAAATTTCACTCCCAAATTCTATCTGGTTCCCATTACCCCTCCTCAGTGTATTGCAGCCACTGTTTCCTGATTTTTGGTTGCATAATAAGACAACTCCAGGCGCCACAAGTAGATGTGTCTGATTTCTGTGAACTACTTCTGATTCAGTTCTGTGAGAGTTTATTAATTATACCTACCTATATCCTTTGTCATGCAGTCTTCCCTGTGGTGCCTGTTTATAAGCTATAATCCACAAAGTCTCTGAAAGCTTTACACATCAGTGTTTTTATAATATTCTGTCTTGCTCTCAGTTCTACACACTTTAGTTCTTAGTTCTTCTTTCAAATGCTCTGGAATGCTGTGTTCTTGTGACTTCAAACTAGAAAAGGTGGATAATAATTATCAGCATGGTATCGCCCAGAGAATCTCCTCCAGCTCCTATGAAAATTGCGCATGGTGCTTGCAGTTGGCCGTAGCTCTATGGATGACTGCCAGGTGCAGGAGTGCAGGCTAGTAATCTCCATCCTGCACGTACCCAGCATTTATTACTTCCTATACTTCACTTGCTGTACCGATGTTCTGATCAAGGACAGGTCATCAGAGACAAACACAATTGAACTAATAGGTTTCCACTTCTGTTGCCAAATGACATTTCTGTTCCCTGTGGTTTGTATATAATACAATTTATGATTCTTTCAGTAGTATCAATTCAGGACACCCCTTTTCCACACATTTGTAATTGTATTTGTGTGAGGGTGGAGGGAAGAGAATGACTTTCCCCTTCTACCCTGCACATGGGCATGTATTAATAAGAACATAAGAGTAGCCAATGTTGGATCAGGCCAATGGCCCATCCAGTCCAACACTCTGTCACACAGTGGCCAAAAATACCAGGTGCCATCAGGAGGTCCATCAGTGGGGCCAGGACACTAGAAGCCCTCCCACTGTTGCCCCCCCCCAAGCATCAAGAATACAGAGCATCACTTGCCCCAGCCTGTGAGTTCCTATCTATACCTTGTGGCTAATAGCCACTGATGGACTAATAGAACACTCCCAGGGTATTCAGCTTCTCAAAGATTTGTATTCATTTATTTGATTAAATTTCCAACCTGCACCTCTCAGTTCGGCCCTTTTTTTAAAAAATGAGTCAAGGATATCACAGCAAGGCTCAGAGAAGACAGCAACAGTCTCTCACATCTATAAGGATCAAAATGTTATTAGTTGGGTGAAGTCCGTGTCCTGAAGTGCACTATTAGATTTTTCAACCTTATGACTGAATGTAGACTATAGTCTTTTGTAGAATGCTGAAGATGGTATGATACCCATGATGAGCACACACATCCAGTCATTGTTTCTACCAAACAGGTTTTGCAGGATCAAAAGATGCTACATTTTTTAAAAAAAATCCAGGCTGTTGAGTGGGTCAGATTTGAACCCAGCTATATCTAATGCCTAAAGAACCATTGTAAGGTGTTCCTGGAGTGAGGTTCAGTCCAGAATGAATATGATGATTTTGTTGATGTACACAGGCACAAGCAATTGATAACCAGGTTGATTCAGTCCACTGTCTACTGAAACATGTTAGGGACACTATGAAGCCCAAAGGAAATCACATGGAACTGAATCAGACCTTGTGAACGCCATCTCCTGATCTTCCAGATGGGTTGGCATTTGCCCAGTAAGCTTTGGTGAGCTCCAGGACTGTCAATACTAAGCAGTTCCAAGACGTTTGATAAGGAGGTTGATTGTGACAATGGAGTATGCATTGAACTGGACAACATTCTTTAACTCTCAATGCTTCAGGCTTTGCAAAGAGTGGAGTGGAGCTACACAAGATGCTATGTGATGACTCAATAACTCTGTTGTAACATATCTGAGCTCTCTTGGGCCACCTCTTCTCAGAGTTCCCGTGGCTTAAATCTTCATTACGTCTGGGCCACCTGTGTAGATTCCATGGAGATAATGTCCTCTCCTACCATGGTCCACCCAGGATGCCTAAAAAATATCGCTCTCCCACTCCTTGCAAGAGGTCCCCCTGGGGAATTCCCCTGTTCCCAGATAATAGTGCTTTGAAGCTGACCTGATAAATTAAATATATAAATGTGGCATTTTATTACATTTTTATCCCATTCTTCCTCTAAAGATCTCATTCCATACCTGTCCCACTCTTTTATCATTTCACCAACTATTTGAAATAGGGTGGGCTTAAGAAATAGTGACTGGACAATGTCACCTGGTAAGTGTGGCTGAACAGGTATTTGAATCCAGGTTTCCCTAACCAGAGTCCAGCACTCTATCCACTACACCACAGTGGTTCACATTCTATAAGTGAAAATGCTGTAGTTTTGTTATTCAAAAACCTGCAATAGCAGCTTGATCAGAAATAATTTTTGTTAAAAATATTTGGGTATATCACGGCCAATGATGCCTCTTCCATGCCATTTTCAATTACCTTTTTCTATTTCTAGCCTAAATATTAAGCTACAGGTTTGGGTATATCACGGCCAGTGATGCCATTTTCAATTACCTTTTGTCTATTTCTAGCCTAAATATTAAGCTACAGCAGTACTTCTCAGCCAAGTCTAACTTTTCCTCCCACATTATAACTCCTGCTGCTCATTCATGCTCAAGTTAGAAAGAGAAAAAGAAATCCTCTGATTTCTGAGTAAAATCCCCCATCTGTGTATATGCTTTATATAGATCTTTAGGATTCTCTAAGGTCTGATGTTCTGTAAAACCCAATATTAGTTATTGTATTCTGAAACTTCTTTTTAGAAGATATTTGATTGCTAAAGGCATGGATACTGGGAATTGTTTAATACAAGCTTGTACTCCTAACATCCCTTAGGAAGACCCGGAGAAAATAACTGTAGCAAGGAATGTAAGTTATATTAACTGAGTAGGGACCAGGATGAGGGGCCAAAGAACTGCATCGCAGGAAATGGTAGTATCCCTTAGTATGTTTTTGGCACCTGCTAAAATGACTGGATAGCATGGCTGTTCGGGCAATAATTTGTTTTTATGCAATACTAAATATACTGTGAGTGATGATTCCACAGATGGGAGAGGGGAAAGAAGTGAGATGGCTGATTTTAAAAAAGTATGAATCAGTCTAGGTTTCTATCAAGTGTTCCAAGAACTTCTATTCAGTTCTGAAGGTAAAACCGGATTAGCCTCTTCCAAATAACAGCCCTCACAAGCAGTTTCCTTGCGTGAACCGTGTAATGTGAGAGAAGTTAACTTGCAATGTTGTAGATCACTGAAGGGAAGGAGAAAGTTCAAGTGCATTTGGTTGCTTCCGCATTACACTGCTCAAACAAGTAGATCAGAAGGAAGATGTTTGTCTTTGGATATCCCAGGTAACCATTTTCTCTATACGCACTGTCTTTGTTCTAACTTTAATTAAGCTGTTAATCTGTTTAATAACTAGTTTCTAACCTGATCACATGAATACTTATTCTGAAGTAAGTCACATTTAATTCTGTTGGACTGTGTGTACAGGATTGGGAGTAAGCCTCCTTAAACTAAGTTGCAAAAGTGTATGTAAAATGTTATCAAGGGTATATAAGTATGAAAACTTTGTGCATCTGTTTGTTTCAGATTGGTTACTGGAGTGACATGGACAAATTAGTTTTGATCCAACATGAGCCAACAATGGGAAATGACACATCAGCCCTTGAGAACCGAACTGTAATTGTAACCACAATCATGGTAAGTTTGTATTTCTGGTATTTGTAGGCCTACAAGTCATTTTTTTTTCCTGATAGCCCACTAATTGGCCCATTCCGATATTCAGAGGAATGAGGGATGAAATATCTTAAGTATTTTGACCATTTCTGATTGTATCCTCAGATCAAATCAGGGAAACCTTTTTTATTACCTTTTTTAGGGAAAAAAACATCTTGTTGCATTCAAATATTTGTTGGAAACAAAAATTAATTTAGCTAGTCTCTGTGATGTGTGATATACTACAGACAAAAATAAATTTTGAAAGAGAGAAAAATACTAGCTTTCTGATACAGCTGTCACTTAAAAAAAAAAAAGAAATCTGTGTATGTGATAAGCACCCAATAAGTGTTTTAACACAATGTAAACTTCAAGGCATGTAGGTGCCTTGCAGTAATATTACAAGTCGAGGCAGTTAGCCCAATAGAGAGTGATACATTTATTTTCCTATATGGTTTACAAATGCAAATGCATAATGAGAATATCTACTTACGCAAGCCATTTATCAAACTCCATTTCTCTATTTTCCAAGACTGACATGTCACTCAACAAAATTCTGCAGTGAGGATCCAGGAGAAGTTAAGCCTTTGTAAACCCTGTTGATTACCAGCTCATTCTGGATCATGGCCAGGCTGGACATTAAAAAAATTATGTATATATACATATATATGTATATTTACTGACTCATTGTCCATTTGAAAGAGTTCCAGTTAGCTAAACAAAATGTCACTGCTTCATTAATTCACAGCTATTAGAAACAGTAAAAGAAATCCTGTAGATCTCAGAACCGTTTTTTTCCCTAAAAGAAGCCATACAGATACATCTCTTAAACAGAATACCTAACACGTTTTCTTTTCTTCTGAAGTCAGTTGTGCCCTTTAAATATTATGTGTGTCAAAGAAGAATAGTAAAATATGACCTTTACCTGACTAGTTTTAAACTTTTGCAACTCAGTTCACTGCCATTTTCACATATCTCATTAGACAAAATTTATTTTATTTTATTTTGCTTTTATGACCATTTTTGGATTTAAACTGGATGGAATATTCTACATGGTGTCAGCTTTCATTAACCAGATTTTAAAAAAAGATTTCAAAATTAATGAAGAATTGTAACTTAAGCCAAGATGAAGTGTTATCACTGGTCTTCCATGCAATTAGCCATTGTGTTGTTCATATTTGGTACATTCTGGAAAAAAAAATCTCCTGTTAAGGGTTACCATCTTAGGATGGAAAAGAACTAACACTCTGTGCAAAAATTCAGAGCATAATTCTAACCTAACTGTATAATTCTTCTTTGCATGGGACATTTTAAAAAAATGTATCTTTTTCCTTTGAAAAAAAAGACACGGTAATGGAAAAATTATACTTCAGTACAGTCCTCCTCTTTTCAGCCTCTGATGAAGAATCCTATTTTAAGAAATTGATCAAGGAAGAAAAAGAGTCCCACGCTGCTGTGAACATTCCTAACTAAGGCTCAGCCGTTAAGCATTGAGCCATATTTTTCCATATGGATTTCTGTTCTTCTGACTGGAGGACCAGGCACTGAACCGGCAAGGAAAAACAAAAAAATAAAAGCTCTGTGACTGTTCTGAGAAGCCCCAAAACAGATGACATTAAATCTTCAACTGGGTCAAGCTATGAAGAGATTGATGGGGTGTTCAAGGCTCTCTCAGTAGCCGTTGTTCCTCTCTCGCACCAGATCTTTAAATTGAGGCTTTCATACATGTACAGTGTAAATTATTGTGAAATGATCTCCAAATTTAGGAGAAATTTAAGTGATGCTTGCAAAAGAAAATAAAGTGGGGTTCAATGTCTGTTTTGTTTGATGTGCATAATAAATATTATTTCTGCAAAAGAACTTGGCCAGTCCCAGGGCTGGTGTTTTTACTTCTGAAACAAGGGATCTGAATGAATTTTGCGTAACATGCCAAACTTTCCCAGAGTATGCCATTCAGACTTTTAAAAATTGCTGATTTTTTTTTCATTCTTCCCCAACTCTAATTCTGTTCTAATTAGGCCAGATCAGAAGAGCTCCTTCTGTGGTTATGGCCTTCAGAAGAGCCATTCATGTGGAGTGGTGCCATGCAGAGCACCTGAATCCTTTGAATTCCTGCCCCATCCCTAATCCAGGCTAGACCCATGGGTTCTGGTCAGAGGGTGAGCTTTTCTGGCACAGTCAGAAGTTGCCACTTTCCATTAGGATCCAGGCACATTGCAGGAATAGTAAGGGAGGACATTCCTAAGGACCTCCACAGTATCAGAGTTTCAGCTATGTCACCAAATGACACCAAGGTCCCATCTAAGTGGTTATATGACAGTGGATAAATATTTCAGTTCAGTGCTTGGCACTTATTAAATCTAGTGAAGGCAACAGAACAGATGCATCCTGGACTGTGGAATATACTCAGGTAGGTAGCCATGTTGGTCTGAAGCAGCAGAACAAAGTTTGTTCTGTAGAATATACTTTGTTCTGTAGAATATACAGAAACTTTGTTCTGTAGAATATACAGTGAACTCTGCCAATGCCACATCCACCCTGAGTCTCAATGAGAAAGATGAGCTATAAATGAAGTAAAGGAAATGTATTTATCGGCAAGTGTCTATGAGGGACAAAGTTTAGTAATTATTTTCTGAACACAGAAGTTTCTATGTGATGGAGGCCAGTAAAGGCATTACTAGGAAAATAGAGATGGATGGAAGTGGTTTCATACCTCATGTTGGCAGACAAAAATGGTGTAGTGGTTAAGAGTAGTGGACTCTAATCTGGAGAACCGGGTTTGATTCCCCACTCCTCCACATGCAGCCACCTGGGTGACCTTGGGTCGGTTACAGTTCTCTCCGAGCAATTCTCTCAGAGCTCTCTCAGCCCTACCTGTCTCACAGGGTGTCTGTTGTGAGGAGTGGAAGGGAAGAAGATTGTAAGCTACTCTGAGTGAAGGGTGGGGTATAAATCCAGACCTCCTCCTCCTCCTCCTTTTCGAGATCACAGCTTGAGACATGATCTTTCTGGGCATCCATTGAAAGTATTACCACTAAAAAGCCTGGTCTTGAGCTTGTTTATAGTCCTGCGTTAAATCTTGGGGTGGGTGAATTCCCCTTACTCGGTCGAGAAATAATTTGGCATACCTAGACTAATGTCACAGACCTCCACAAGCAGCTTTAACCTGTGTTTCAGATCTGGCCCCTGGGATTTGCAGTCAGCTACTTCCGTAAGCATAACATGCCATACTGCAGTTTCATGCAATTAATGGAGTTATCCCTGCTGTCCCCTTCTCCAGCCTCTGGAAGTCCCCATGAACAGCATGAAAGTCTCACAAGGACCTGAGGCTTTCAGATCTGGCATGTAGCAAAATTATCATCAGCTCAGGTTCTTCTAAAGGTTCTGTCTGGGGGCTTGGTCTAAACTGATTCTGGAATAGGCAAAGACTCCAAACTATTTTGGAACATGTCTGGATTGAGCATTGTCCACATGATTCCAACCAGATGCACTCAGGGAGGATCCCTTGGTAGAAATCCAGCCACAGAAGTGATGATGCAAAATGGTCCCCAGTTTGTCAAAGGAAGTTAGTGGAAAGTGGTGTGGTGTTGTGTGAGTGAGCCCATGTGCTTTATTTGGCACAAGTTGTTGTACAACACAGCTCAAATTATCCAATCTACTATATATATCATGAGAAAAGATCTATAAATCTTTTATAAATGCAGTTACGCAGGGCTCGTAAGACAGAGTAGTTCCGCCAGGCCTATGGTTGAGGACAGCAACCATTTTCTCCATCTAGCCTGTCTCCGTCCTTCATCTTCCATTATGGGAAAGGACACTAGTTTGTCTGTTTATGCACCAACTGCAAATTGTCACTTCACTTGTTAAATTGTTAAGGTATTTTAATTTCTGTAAGTTTTTTTTTTTTTTAATTTAACCTGGTTACTAATGTTGTTATTGGAATGTTGTTCCCCGCCCTGAGCCCTATAAGGGGGATGGCAGGCTATCTAATTAATAAAATAAATAAAAGTTTATGACATGATTAGCCACTAATAAGGTAGAAATGTAAAACATTAAACATTTAATAATAAGGATTTGTTTATCTGTTGCTTTAAACATTTATACATTTTTTCCAAAGCTTTGAAAACTGGCAAAAGGCATACCTGTATATTTCAGGGTTGTCTGTGCTCACAAAATGTCTGTTTTCTAGTGTTTGCCTTTCTGCTCATCATCTGTGCACAAGACTGACACCAGAGCATGTTAACACATTGATTTATTTGTAACAAAAATGAGCAGCAGAGTTGATTATCTGTAAAAACAAACAGGGACCCACAAGATTTATAGGGGAGATCCTATCTTTCTCCCTGCCCATGAGGCTTACCAGCTCCTGCTCCTCGCCTGCCTGCCTGCCTGCCTGCCTTTCCACTGCCTATACAGTGCAGACAGAAGAAGGGGAGGCAACAGCAGTAGAATTTCCCACTCCTTCCCCTCCCCACCTACCTGCATTGCCAATTCCATGCAGCTCATTGAGAATTGCAGCTCACTGGCTCCTGCCCTGCTCTCTCCACCTGCTCTTCCCACTCCTCCCTGCCACTCTGCCTTTCTGCCCATTTATCCCCCTCCCCACCATTCAGGACCTCCCCCACTGCTCCTGCCAATGCTGTACCCAGCTGTTCTGCAGGGAATGGTGGGGGAGCAGGTCCCAGTCATCCTCTTTCTCCTGTCTACCCACAGCGCCGTACTTGGCTTGTGCAGTGACTCTCCACCCTCCTCCATCTCCCATAGCAGGGCAACAGAGATGAATTCCTTGCGCACACACAGACAACTTTCCTCTGTTTCAGGATTTTAACCCCGTGGCTTGTGCAGTGAGTCTCCACCCTCCTCCATCTCCCACAGCAGGGCAGCAGGGCAACAGAGATGAATTCCTTGTGCACACACAGGGAACTTTCCTCTGTTTCAGGATTTTAACCCCCCCCCCCCCAGCACCTTTTTTATGTTTAGGTTTT